TTTTTCAAAATTATTGAGAGACTTGTAAATTTATGGGTAGCAGTAATCCACTTGCTTATCCACAATTTAGTTTCGGCAAGTAAACATCCTTATAAATATTGTTCTGTAACAATATACACTGACTGATGCAAAATTGAAACTTGAACAAAATTCACACGTATTAAAAAGCATGCCAACCCTGGTCGATGTGCACACTTTACAAGATAACTTGCTTGAATATATATTGATCAATATACAAACTTAGACGATAAGTTCAAAGTTGAGTGAAATCCATGCCTAATTAATTAGCATACTGTACTCTGATTGGTCAATGGTTTTATGCCAAGTAACTTTGTTAGATAAGGCAAGGGTTGATATCTTATTCAACAACAAAGGCAAAGTTCAAAGATGTTCACAATCTGTGCATAATCTATTCAATGGTTTAAAATAATCAGGTATTGGTCAAAGGGGTAAATGCCAGTTTCAGTTTTTAATGTTCTATGAAATACATTGTATGGACAAAGGGAAGCAATTCCAAATTCCTATGCAAATTAATTATCCAAAGGTTTAAAATGATATATTCTAGAGGAAACTTGGTACCACTCTTCTGACAAACCTATAAAGATATACTGTACACACAAGAAGAATAACTTCACAGTGGTACACTTTTACATAAAACTTTGATTCATAACAAATTAACAGTAAATCCTTCTGTACAATATGATGGGAACTTCGTCTTTATTTTGTTCTCCATTCCAAAAATAATATATATATCTTTTGCCTTAGCTTTCAGTACTTTCAGTACTTTGATTTTTGTTATGGTAATCTTTCGAGAACTCGAAAGGACGGACTGCCCATAAAGATTTTTTTACAGTATTCCTGAATGTAGAATCCTGCAGCAGACATACTAGTTTATAAGCATTTAAAATATGGAATCGGGCATTGGTATTTTCGTTTCGTCGACACCACAAAGATTTCTTGTGCTTTCTGTGTTGCCTTTATAAGTGCTTTTACCAATGCACCTGCACTTGAAATGTCAGAAAATAATGACTTGTGAGGTCAACATTTGCAGCAATTTAAATCGATCAAATGCATTTTAAGTAAATCTATTCAGGAATAATTTATTCATACATGTACATATGTCAAAAACAAATGCACATTTTTGTAATTACTAAAGTATTGGTCACTAAATGAATCTGTAAAATATAATGAATCGCAGTTATTTATTAATGCCATAAATAAATTATATATTTTTTTTTTTTTGAAAAGCAAGTCTTTTTAATGTTTCTCTTATAGTTTCTTTATGACAAGCATGCATTTATTGTATTCGACGATAAAATGCATGATAATTATATATGTATATGACGACAATGTACTTATTTCATATTATCATGAATAAATTGATTCATTTCATTTTGTATTCGCGATACATTTACTTCACAATTCTTTCGACATCACATTATTGTTACTTATTGCGTTAAACGTATGTATGAGCTATTCCTACATGAATGTATTTAAAATATTCTTGATTTATGTGTTTCATTATTACAATAATACAATACACATAAATTTATAGGTATGACATATGTATACATAAATTCATCTCATTTGCATTTAACATCAGTTCTAGTGTGTCTTAATTTATTGTTATTAATATTATAATCATATTAATATATTGGTATTAATGTGTCAATTTGAACAATGGGAATATTGAGTTATCTAATGAATGTCTTTGTTTAAAATCTCATTATTGAAGTTGAACCTCCGGTTTCTGGTGACAGACGTCTACAATTGACCACTAGTGCAACTGTTTTGATTAAAGTCGAGACACAAATGCAAACATATTTTAGCTCTTTAGCTTTCTTACAAGGGAATGTCTCCAAAGGTTTCGAGTATAAAGGATGGCAGTGATAATGTTGTAAATACCTTTGTATTCATACGACAATGAAATTTATTTACACGCTAACAAAAATATTGTGTAATCTCATTACACAACATACTTGCCTTGTACCACGACTTACCTGGTTTACGCAACCCTTTGATGTGAATGGCTTCTATGATCTTCTGGATACTTCCTAGTAGTCAGTGAAGCGTGTCTTGTTAACTTGTATAACACCGCGCATGATGTCACATTCACCGAGACGCAATGGACTGTCAGAATGATAACATCTGAAACCTTATTAGCCTTAACGCTGACGTCCTGAGATCATAACCATGCTTTAAACGAAATGTGTTTTGCATAATTTAAAGGACGTTTTCCTATTGTTTCTCACTGGAATTTACCTGCAGGACGTGTAGATATATAAACTGTTAGACGTGGAACTGGTTTTGACAAGGGGGCCAACATTAAGACTCTTGCACATGTGCTAACGAGAGGATACCACAGGTAAACTATGTTCATTTAAATATAAATAGTATTAAAATATGTAAATACAAGTAGCTATTCTTTTGTGACATTTATTAATAACGATTGCAAACAAACTTGTATAAATTACCAAATCATTTGCTGTAATCCAAATTGAACATATATGTTTTTGTTAATTTTTTGACATTCGTAGGAAAAAACATACATTTGTTAGTGCACCTCGGGTCATTTAGTTAATTATGCAGCTGTGAATTTGCCCTTATGTAAGATTCGTGCATTTTGTTGAATTAAAACGATATTGAGCATGTGCATCGGCGCGTGTCGTCTGGAGAGAGCGTTGAGAAATGGAAAAACTGACTTGAATAAATAACAGTAACTTGTAACACAAGCTTACGGGGCAAGCCCTTCACAAGGGATTCAAAAAGAGACGCGACATAAGGGTTAGGACCGTTTGATTTTAGCCGGAAAGCTTGAATCAAAGTTGACTTGATATTTATTTTATTATATTTTATTACGTTCTCTTTAGGGACTAGACATTTTGACTTCTATGCCACTCGCGTCTGTGTAAACGTATGTTTTTATTATCAGCAACAGTGTAAATATCATAATTTACTTTGAATAAGGGAAATGCAATTATTGTAACAATTTGATTCAAACTACGTTTCGAAAAATGACAGTTTCGGAATTGATTTATATTGGAACTTGATACGGTTCAGTGCTTTCAAATTGTCAAAATCATTAAAAAAAGGTACCGTAATTGTCTGTATTTTCGTATGTTTCTTTATTTTACGAATTATTCCTATATTTTAGATTGTTTGATATACCGATTGATATGTTGTTATTTCCGTGTTGATAGTTATTCATTAAGGAAGCATTTGAATACACTAATTTGTATCATCGCACGTTAGTGCAAAACGTAATCGTTGTCTGGGACGAAGGTGGTTTGAAGTATCGTTAAACACGTTGATATCACTGTTGAACCCGCTCATGCCAGTTGTGGTGTTGTTCGTGAACAATTGTACAAATGTTTGTGTACCTTATACTCTGCCTTAAGGCAATATGGTGTTTATATATTCGTATGCAATTCTCTGTCACATTAACAACAATCAACATCTTCCATACGTTTGCTTAACGCTAATGATCTGTGGCCGTTACAAAGCGTTTAAATGACTCAATGTCACTCAATGTCTATTTCCAGCAATTTATGTCAGAGTTGATGGTCGACCCAGGCAACACAACACATGCGAGCATAATATCAACGCTCTACGGGATAGTGTATGCCTTCATTGTGCCAAGTGGCAAACGACATTATTAGGTATGTCGTCTTGGCAACGTTATTTGTAATTGACATAATACTGATAATGTTTATTTCCGTCAATTCAAAAATGCTATTGTTCTTTTCTAATTTGACACTGAAACATATAACTGTGTTTTATTTGTATCATTACCGTAGCAAGGATACCTACCGAAAGTAAAACCCATGTTATCAATAGTAAGCTAAAGTATCATTGATATTCTAGACGGCAAACATCGAGATATTTTGCGCCCGTTTTATGAAGCAATAACAAAACTGACGTATGACTATCGAGTTTAAACATATGATATGCACAGTACCTGCGTATCTTAAAGTAAATTAAAAAAACCCAGTAACTTTATTTTTATGACCGAACGGATGGATGAACGTGTCCATGTATTTGATGGACTGAAGAAACGATGTATAAATTAATAGATTGTGTAAGAGTATATAATAGATAAAGACCGACGCACGAATGAGTAATTGAAAATAACTGAATTAAGAATTTGTAATAAATAGGGAATGAATGGTGCCCGAATATAAAGTAGATAATGGATAGTGTACGAATGTATATGTGCAAATGTTTAATAAATAATCGATTAACGGTGTATGAATATAAAATAGATTCTTCAGAACTTATGAATGAATGTACATAATAGGTAGTTTAGATACATAAAACGTGTAATAAATAATATAATGAACGATATGCGAATGTATAATAGATAACGAATGCAAAATAGATACAAAATGTTTAAATAGATTACGAATGTTTAAAAGATAAGGAATGTATAAAGGATAACGAATGAATAATACGAAACGAATGTATAATGGTCAACAAATGTATGATAGATAACGAATTTATAATAAATAACGAATGTCTAATAGATAACGAATATTGAATTGATAACGAAAGAAGGTAACGAATATATCATAGATTACGAACGTATAATAGATTACGAATGTTATATAGACAACGGATGTTATATAGACAACGAATTAAGGATTGCATTTATATACAATTGGTAATAGATTTGTTAATAATATTCTACCATTGTAGTTCACCTGTGTTACACATACAAATATTATGTATTATGGATCAAATATAGACAGAATCAGCAGCACAATGTAATACTCGAGACATTAGTTGAGATTGTTTGTTAAGGGTGTTACGTCCACTCTATATCAAAAATGGAGAAGGTGTCCACAGTTAATACGTCATTCAAGTGCCACTTTAAAGTGTCATCTCACTGAAATTTCATAACCTGGAAACGCTAGCAAGACACTTCAGCTGATTACATTATTCTGACAACGGGTTTGGTACTTAAGGCGACACCAACGAAGAAAATTATAGACCTGTAGAAGAATAAAGAGGCGATAGTGATCGCGAGTATGGCGATGGGAACAGTAGATATGATGATAGTAGTATTAATGAACTCATTCATCCCTGAATTCATAATGAACTATTCCAGCCATTGAATTGGTAAAATTCAAATGTTTCTTCAGGGGTGAATGAGTTAAGGGTTATTACGCACCCCTACTGTGGCTACAGTAGTTTAAACCTATTTGGATTTCGACTCTTTTGGCACCTTGCAATTCCGTTGAGTTCAAAATTGACGAAACAGCAGTTTAATTATTTTTTCAGTATTCTGTATCAATAATGAATTTTTAAACAGCAGGTGCAATCACACGAGCGCGTCTTACATGTATCTTTCATTTTCGGTTTCTCCTATGTTCATGTATCCTTACCATTGAGCACAGGAGAAAATCTTCAAGTCACCAGGTCCCCACATGAGTCGCCTCATACAATATTTTGATAGGATATATTAAATGTGTCCTTTCTCCACACAGGTGTAACAGCAATTAGCAGACGCTTACATTTAAAGTCTAAGTACTGTATATCAATACTTAAATAATGGAATGAGTACAAATGAAAATCAACTTTACGACAGTGTGTATTTCATATATTATTTAAACAAGAAAGCTAAAATAATTTGCGAGAATACGTGTAGAATCGATTCATACATACAATGAATATTAGTCTTGCATGTTACGATATTATCTTCTCTTATTTGCATTTTAGATCTATGTATCACTGTACAACTGCCAAAAACCTGTAACTAATTGCTTTGCTTTGATCAATCATTTCGGAAAAGAAAACCCTACCTGGTCGACGGAAGTAAACTGGCCCAGTCGTGTTAAAATTATATCCAATACTTAGATAAGGAGAGGTTTCTCTCAATTACAATGTTTATGTATGACTAACATAAAGTCTTCTTCTTCTACTTCTTCTCTCAAAGTGCAGTCCACCTAGGGGAGTATCCCGTATTTCTAATTTCCAATTTTTGGCTGTCAGCCAAAATGGTAACAGTTTAGATTTAAAGAACGTGTGTGCTTTTCACAATATTTGCAAAACAGTATGGTTCCGTTTAAAAAAAAATCTGAATTCGTTTCCTTTTATTATTACATCGACATGATGGCCTTGATTCATTAATCCAATATGAAAATGAATGCAGATTTCAAAATATTCGTGTGACTAACATACTATCAAGCGAATATTGTCGTTTCTGGAGTAGATCAGGGAAGCTATTGTTAATATAAGTATCATTTCCTTGGAATGTACATAATACAACAATCTGTAATATATTCCAATAAATATTGTATACTCTTGTAATGATGAAAGGACTAGCATGGATACGAACATTTATGTTTCGCAGGAGTTTTCCATGGTTGATAAATAAATTACTCTATAAATATACTGACTCTTTCCAAAAACCAGTAGACACTGCTTCTGTTTAGTTATAAAAGTTTACTTTTAACAAAACGCAGATACATTTTGGGATAATAATGTTCGGAAGTGTATTAGTTTATTACCAATGGTTGTTGTCCAATGAAAAACGCCGTTTCATCACCAACGTTGTCAAATTAGGAGTGAAAAGCGTTAGCACATCTCCAAGTAACTCTTGAATTCATAAACCCTCGTGTTGAATTTTCCTGTTCGTTATCATTTAAGAGTTTCTTATTATTATTGTTGTTTTTATCTTAGTTTACAGCGAATCCTCTTTAAGCGATGGTGTACGAAACAGTTTGCGACGGCATCGATCTTGACTTTGTAGAGGAAACAGGAAGTGACGGAGAGGAAGAATGGCTTCAGTAAGTTGAAAACATTTATTTTTGAATACAGTTTAACGTCTTCGATACTCCAGGGGTTACGCTAACTTTCGCTCTCTGCAACCCTGGAATACATCATAGCAAAATTGAGGGTGCGCAGCTAGGTGTTTGATTGGTTTCAGGTCAAAATCCTGACCAATCGCCTGGCTGATACCCGACTTCAAAGTCAGTCTGATTTACCGTTACGCGACCGTGAGATTCTTTTGATGAACATCAAAGGATCCAACTAGTCTCCTCTTCTCATCCATACGATAGTGCCCAATGAGCCTTCAATTTCGCATATTCCATGGGTGCAGAGGGCGTAAGTGAGTGTAACCCCTAAAGTATTGAGGATGACAGTTTAATGACCTGAGGCTTTGGCTCACGTGAATTATTTTTATCCTTAACCATCTTTTGTTCAGCATTGAAGATTTGTTGTTATATTTACGAGCTAAACCACTAGTACTTTTGACCATAATCGGACAGGATGCTCTTAACTGATAGCAGATTATCGATAGTGCAATGGACGCGAGTCAACCAATACGGACCCAATAAGTGAAAAAGAGGTAGCTTAGAGAAAATTCTTCCTATAAAGGACCATTAATGCCATAGCTTCACCCCTTTCGTGTGTGGATTTTTCTATAGACAATATACTGCCCTAGCTACAATAGGCACATGAGACTATAAACAAGAAATAGCTTGCTTGGTATAGGAAATATATTGTGTTTGGTTTTTCCCGACACTGATGGCAAGTTCACTTTGAATGGAGGTTCACATATTCTATCACAGTTTACCCTTTCACCACTATGTAACCTTAGTAATTTCTACCATACATTGATCTGAATGAGTCAATTGTGGTCTACAGTGGTGAAAGGCTTAAGTATTTATTACTTCCAGGTCTGATATACTTTTGTTTAAATTCCTGTCTTTCTCTCGGAAAATGAAACATAAACTGACTTCCGGCCTTACAAGTCTATTCACACCTTTTAACCCCAAACACCGATATAATTGTATTTTGTCTTACTACATTTCAAACACTTAAAGTTTGATTGATAATTTATTCTTTTTCCTCCTATCCGAAACATATTTTATAATTATGTATTTTGTTGTTTTCACTAATTATCACATCAGTACACGTGTTCAAATATTTGACAGGAAACAATTTGATATTGGCCACATGAGGAGCGGGAAACATTGTTTTGAGTTTCGCATTCATTATTTTGTTTTGAAAGTCGGTGAATGTTCAATATAATCAAAAACAGCATTTTGTCAGTTGTTAAAATTACAATGACGTCAATTTGCGGTTATGTTTAGACTTGTATGTTTACATAATGTTTATTACAGCTACGAAACCAAAACAAATATTCTGTCCGCCTTTTTAAACTGACAACATAAAATTCAATATAATATACTATTCTTAACTTCAGACTGATGGCGTAAAGTATTACCTAAGTGTCGCCCTTGTTTTTTCAATGGATAAGTGGAGAAGAAAGAACGTTAGACCAAAGTTGGTTCCTAATTCTATGTTCCTAGTTGCTGGGGTCTGGTTTACATTTCCCTTTTTTTTCTTGATCTCGGAACTAGGAATCAAATGCCTGCTCTCATTGTAGTACTCATATCTTAAGTTTAGGCTAGATTAATTTATTGAAATGCAATTCGATTTTAATAGAAGACAAATACAGACATTCTATGAAAAAGGGAGATTGCATTTTCAAATATGTTTTTAACGTCATTGCTTGGTCATGAAAAGTGGAAAAATGCTTATGACATTATTTTTATAATAATTGAACAGATCATACATAGGTAAATAACTCTTTGTCGGTATCTTTGATAGTGCTAGTATACAAACTTAAAGACTTCTCGATTCTAAATTCTCGATTCTAAATTTAAGAATTGTCAACTCACGCTACGAGATACTTGTATCATGTGGCGAAATAAAGCGATAAAAACGATTTTTTAGATAAACAAACTATTTCAATTATCCTGATTCGTAATAAGGAAGTACGTCTTCACAAGTATATTTCATTTGCATAAGAGAGGTATAATATTACATGTCCCTTTAATCTGTCAACAAAAGAAACGCTGATCGTTCGAATGTATATTCTTTGCGAGGCCCACTTCCTGACCCGGCATTGAGATCACATATCAAAGAAGTGATGTAAATGTGTTTAACTTGATTTAGGGTGGCCACTTTTCTTTTGGCGTTGTTATAATATTGTATATTAAGTATTGGCAGCCCTAGGTTGTCATTTGTAAGTGTCTTGGTTGGAGTGTTACCGGGGTGATATATTACAGTCATACACTTGAACCCTCCTGTTGAAAACCCAAAATCCCCAGCTTTTATCATTCGAACTTTTCTATAACGGAAACCCATATTGATTTTTAATTTAAGTAGATTTTTCAGTTTGCTGTAATTTCTGTATTTAATAACAGCTTTTACAATTCAGCAAACTATTCTATAACTGGAACACATCTGGATTTTAATTGCATTAGGTTTTTCAATTTGCTGTTATATCATCAGGTATTTTGGTATGTTTTACGCTGTCGAGTACAATGTATGAATTTGTTTTTGGGTTAACAATTTTGTGAAACAATCTTTCTGTTTTGTTTTATCGTACATGAAGGTTGACAATTCACACATCATTGTATCAATAATATCATAAATTATTAACGTTTTTGATGCATATTTTTTTTTTTTTTTTATCTGTTCAGCCATTATGCATCAAATTGGCACAACCTTGTATATAAGCATAATAGATTTTCTGAAGTGACATTTCTACAAACACAAAACAATATAACAATACTTGGAGGCTGCTTCAAAAATATGAATTTTCAGGATAAGTGTGTCCTAACAGCAAAAAATGTATCCATAACCTACCCGAAAGGGACGTTTTAGTTAATGTGGAAAACAGTATACATTTGAACAATGTTTACTTTGTGATTTCATAGTTGTGAATATTAAGAAGGTTAAGAAACTAAAACTCGCGAAAAATAACGTTTTATCCTTACCTATCCCTTTAATTAGACCTAGCATAATTAGCTATTCTTCCTCCTAACCAAATTAGCAAGAGTCGATCACCGCAAGTTTTATCACCTGCTAACGACCATAGGCATGACGTCACAAATAGCCACTAATAAATTATACCAAGACAGTATGACGAAGCAATAGACCTCATTAGGCATTTCTGTGGTTTGTTTATCACAAGTCAAACAAGTGTAACAGACCACAAGTATTGATAGATTCTCTCTCATATTACCATTATTCTTTCTTCATGAGGACAGTATTCTCTCTATGTCAACATAATGTATGGAGAATTTGATGTATCAATAACTTACTTTCTTCTTGGACATGGTACATCAAGATGAGTCCTGCATAAAGTGCAGAATACACTGATGTTTCCGGAACAAAGTGTTTGTCTAAGGCATTTTCTAGGTGGAATATTGTGCATAGATACACATTGATGAATGCATTACACACATTGAGGCACTTCCTTAAATTACCTTAGTGTAAATAGGACGTTAAACAAAAGATAAATTGTGTCTTAGCATTTATTTGGGTATATCCTAAGTAGTTCCTGTTGGTGTCTTTTCATGTTTATAGTAACTTCTGATATTCACAAAAACACAAAATCAAGGAAACACAGGGTTTCTATAGATGGAAGTTAATGAAGACCATGGTCACGTTCTATGTTAGCCATCGTGATATCATGGGGGATATTCTACTTTCTGTTGTGAAATGAAAGCCGATGATTTTGATTATGCTTATAAGTGTACTTCGTTGTTTCGTTGTCACTTCCCCATTTCTCGTTTTGAAGACGTTACAATACGTGGATTTGACCTGGTATCCTACTCGTTAAGAAAACCAGGGCCCGTATGCATGAAATTATTCTTATGATCAAACTCATATTTAGTGCTCAAGCCTAGTTTTATGTTGCAGTGTTGAATTAATAAAAGTTCACAGTGTGCCAACGTTAGGACGGACCTACAACTGAATATCAATTTCATTGTTTAAACTTGATTTGTTTACGATGTCACGTGATAATAACGAGTAACAAGGAAGTGAGTTTTATCATAGGATGCATGTTTGAGAGTGAGAACGGTTATGTGAATACAGGCCTATTCCCTTTGAAGAGTTGTCAATGGTCTTCATTTTTATGTTTAATTTATTCATAGTTTGCCCTAATGTTATCGATTTTGAGTTGGAAGTAAAGTTTTGTTTACGTTGTTTTTTCCTTTTCCTTTTTCTAAGTAGTATGTATCCCCCCCCCCCCTGTATTTATTGTTCATATTGTGTTATATTTTGGAATCGATGCCAATAGTTATTTCGAACTGTTGATTGCATTTTGTCGTCAATATAACGGTCTTGTAAGTGAAAGTGAAGTTCACATTGTAGATAGCTCAGACTGGTGTCGGTGGGTGTTTATATACTGTACACTGGTTGCTCGTACCGGATGGCGTCAAGGACTTGTTTATGGGAATATTTAGATAAGGTTTCAAGATTTACAATGAATCATCAACGTTAGGACATCTTCACCAAAAATAAATACAATCTGTGCAGTGATTGACGCGAACAGACCCGGTTAATAACATGCACCTTGTAACTCTTAAAAGTATAATATTTATAATAAACACACATATATATGCAATGTTATTTAAATGAAGACGATGTTTGCATGGTATATATATATGCGGAAGAGTTAGCAATGAGTTAAGCTTACCATACAACTAACCAAAAGCGTTCATTATAAAAACGTGAGCTGGCATCTTTATTATATAAAATAAGGTCAGGATCAAGATAACACAATATGACATTTGATCTGAAACCAGAACAAGTTGCATTGAAAAATGAAATTAAAAATCAAGTTCAATAGTATCAAATCAATTCCGTCAACGCTGAACAGCTTTGTCTCGTCAGGTCGCATTATTAATACATTGCAGATGGGGTAAAATTACTCTTTTAATGTTGTGACGTAATAATGAAAGATCCGAACGGATATTTCTTCATTCCGAATGTGCTGGCTATATGAGGACTTATGATGCCAACTACCTGTGAAACGTTTGTATTTTATTTCAGTATTATTCATAGAAATATTGATTTCAAGATAAACAATGCGTTAAAGTACAAAAAGTATGAGGAGCAGCATTATATATAAAGAAAAAAGTAAAGGCCATTACAAAAACATACAGGCCGCGATTGTCGTTAACTTGAGTTTGTCTTTTCGTTACATCTTTGAACAATTAAGTTTGAGTTTAGTATGAGGCAAATTCAAAGTTCATAAAAAAATTAAGTATTTGAAATGTACTTTAGGAAAATCAAGTCAGCATTTTGAACTTATAAGTTTTCACTCAACTCAAGGTTTTAGCAAAATTCAAGTGAACTTTTCAACTATATATAGTTTTACACTGTACATTTGAAAGAAATTTGAAATAGGGTTTGAAAAAAGAAGGCGTGATAATTTTGTTATTATGAGAACTACCTCGATTTCTAATATACACACTTTAAACATGTTTTCATTCTAAATTTGAAGTAATCAACACATTTAGTCCTAAACTGTGGAGTATTAGTATTTCTTGTCAGGCCAGAGAGGTTTCATAACATACTATAAACCAAAAAATCAACTGTAAAACTTTTGCAAATGAAGAAATGGAGAAAACAGATCCCTTCGACTTCTTCTTTTTTTTCAGTCAAGAATATCGTTTATCGTTTATAATATATCATTTTCGTTTATATATCATACATAAGTATATATTATACCTAAGGCTATGATGATGAAAAAAGCATTTTGATAAATATACGCGGCAATAATTCTCCCTGTGTCTGAGAATCAATGGGAATTATGTATGATGACAAGTGCAAAGGATGGTCAAGGAAATGCCAAACTTGCCGGAGAAGATAATTTATCTGCTATTTAATGTGTTGTGAGAAATGATATCCTCCGTTTTGCTTTGGTGTCTCACGGTTTTTATTGTCTTTTTGAATCGACATTGAATCCAATGCTGTTCTTATGCATTGATATTGCGGTATATATATTTTTTATAATTTTTATTTTTTGAAAAATACAAACTATCTTGCAACTTACTATTTTGCTTGGACAAGATAGACTCGTGTTTATTTCTGTTTCCCATAATAAATTGTTGAATTTATTTTTGAAGTTTATGCATTATTTTTTCAGATAAAGATACCATGTGGATTTTGTCTTTAAGTATCTTGCAAAAATAAAACCCCAAAAATAAAACCAGACAAACAACCTGTGTTCAAATTTTCAAGGAAATGGGAAGCACACATATATTCAATCCTGGTCTTAGTTTAAGATAAAGGCATGATACTTTTATAAAACATTTTATTTGCTGTATATTTTTTTGTATTATATAATATTCTTCATTATACCATTTTGTCCTGTTTTATATATTTTAATACACTATTTTATCCTTTTTTCCTAGTTCATTAACGATGTGGGATATTGTTTTGTATTTCAATACATTTTTTTTTTTTGTCCTTATGCATTTTAATATACCTTTGTTGTCCTTATGCGTAAACACAGCGGTACTTTGTAGTATTGTGCTATAATTTCTGAAACATGTATGCAATGTTTAAGGAAAGAGATACTCACAATACACTCACTTCTGAAACACGTTAACGTTCGCTTGGTGTTCTCACGGCCTCGCAACATCTAAGGTCATTTAAAGACGTAAGGCACTTCTGAAAAGACAAAAGAGGTAGGATAAAAAGAAAACCGAGAGTTTACAAGCGCTGCTATGGGGTAGCATTTATATTTAGGTTTCTGCAATGTCCCCTTAACAACAAAAGACACAGAAGAACAACCACCCATACATCTTACAAAAACATGTTTTTGGATATTTGTTTGTTTGTGCCTAAACGTCGTAGCGACAGCTACATGTAGTGTCGTATGGGGACGGGTGCCTAAGGTACATCACAATTAAAGAATATAGGCCGAGTAAGTGAGAAAAGTGGACAAAATAAAGGACACTGATGTCTTCAATATCCTTTAAGCAAATTAAACAGAAAAAAATCTCCAATTCTGCAATGGGGAGGGGGGCGTGAGTCTGATCTAACGATAACATTCAGTTAGATACATCAGACTAATTCTTTTTCCAGAATCTTTTAAGGTAAGGTAACAAAACGAAAGAAACCCCTTTGTAATACAGAGGACTGATGATAGCAGAAAGGAAAAAGCATTCTACAATAAAGACGTTACAAGTTACATGTGAAGAAAATGCACCATGTTTGCAAAGGAATTTAAGATAAAATAAAATATGTCTGCACACGATGCCGTAAGCTTATACATCTTCTTGCCATTTGGAGTCACACTCCGATGCACAATCTTGTTAATGTACATTTTAATTAAATGTTAATATTCAGGTGTGTAACGCCCTTACTACACAGCGGATAGGAGTGCAATTATGCATGTGCAAAAACCTTGTATGAATAATATGGGATCATTTTGAAAATGAAATCGTTTCAGTATATTTGTTTCTTTTTTTCTATTTATTTGACGATTTTCGCCTTTTAATACATTGGCCGGCGAAAAGAATATGGAATAATGCATGGTGAAGGGCGCCATGTGTGGTTCAGGAAACAACTCATGCTCTTTGAGAGGCTCATGATGTTTTTTCTTTTGATTTGTATCTTCTTGATTATTTCTGTCGAATTTTATTGCCTTTTTTCGTTTTTTTTTTCTACAACGATGAAGATGTGGTATATATGTGTGTGTATATATATATATATATACCGTTTTTCTTTTCTACTTTTACATTCTTCTCACAAAAAGTTTGAAACTCATGTTGAAATATTAATCTGTTAATTCTTTCAACATTGTATGAATACTTTCTGTGTTATGTTGATGTATAACTATTCAAAAAATACTACGCTGTTCCTTGAACAATACCAGGGGAAAAAAACGTAAAGATACTCTATTTGACATATTAAATGTTATATAAATTGTAACGTTACCCCTGACCTACAAATCATTATATAATATATGACGTCAGACTCGGTGATAACTTACTACTATATTGTGACGTCGTACTGCATGACTTACAATGTGTAACGTCACGTTATGTGACTTACTTACTTCCATATTACAACATGTGACCTACTTACACTACTACATAATGTGTGACGTCAAACTCGGTCATCAAATTATAGTTGGATAAGGTGTTTGGTCACACTGTTACCAACTTTCTTCTTTTTAACATGTAAAGTTACATTTTATGACTTACTTACCATTGCATAAAGAGTAACGTCACATTCCATGACCTACCTACTATAAACTCTCCTTTTTGTATATTACTTGTGACCTTAACACTTTGACCTACTTCTGTTTAACTCTTGACCTTTACACCTTGACTTACTTGTCTACTCTACATAGTATGGAATCACACATTTGGCCCACATTACTTATTAATTTATTATACATGGCTTCACGCTTCTTGATCATTAAACAACTCCATAACTAGTTATGTCACTGTCCTTGACATACATTTTGCTTTGCAGCATGTGCAATAGCATGTCAACTTATCCTAATTATACAAATTATGTATTCACACCTGACGTCGTTTGATATGTAACACACTGTACGTTCAGCGATACGTAGCGCGTTATGTTTATATGACGGAGATGGTGTTACTTTCATCTCGTACCATCACTTTAACTGTGTTGTGCCATTTTAAGATGTACATGTAATAAACCTTTTTATCGGTAAAAAGCACTTACCTGGAACTCATAGATACTGAACCGATCGTAACGCTTGAGATACTTTACGAGATTATTTCTTTTGTGTTTATACTGATTGACTGGAATTGGAAAGTCTTTGTATGTGTGTATACTTATATATATATATATAAATGTGTGTGTATACATTATATGAGTTGAAACGAGAAGGAAGCGAGGACGGTCAGATATATTATACATACTCATGCACAACTAACAATGGGTGACAAGGAGAAGAGAAATGTCCAATTTCAAGAACCGAAATTCGAGGATTTAATAAGTTTTTCGGAGGAAAACTCGTTGGAAACGCCGAACTATTTAAACAGGAATGTTATACTTCTTAATATATTATGTGATAAAGGATAACACCAAACTAGGAGGGATGCATGTCTTCCACTAGGCTATTCCTGTTTATCTTTTTACTCTGGCGTTCAAAATGCCAGATCTTTTAATGCATTTTTCTCTCTCATTATACAGATGTGATTAGTTGGTTTTATTATATATTTTATTTTAATTACAGTTCTACTCGAGTGAAGTACTTTACCAACGAACTGTCCTTTAGGGGCCGTCTCAAAAGATTATTTTTACGACAACCAACAACACGTAAGTAAACAAGATGCCCTGTGTGTCTCCAAATTATTTTCATAAGTATTTAAAAAGAAAAACAATTCCTTACCATTTACGACAACATTCAATTTTTATTAGCTCACCTGCCCGAAGGGCAAGTGAGCTTATGCCGTACCGCGGCGTCCGTCGTCCGTCGTCCGTCCGTCGTCCGGCGTCAACTTTTCCCTTTAAAAGCCTATATCTCCTGAACGACTGATTTGATTTTAACTAAATTTGATATGAAGCATCCTTGGAACCAGGGGCTTAATGGATTTATATAATAAGGGTATGGGTTTAGTTAGGGTCCAAAAAGGGGAAAATTTATAAAAAAATAAAAAAAATACTTCTCCATTTCCAGAAATGCTAAAACCAAATACTACTCATAGTTGTAAAGGCCTTTTGGTGGTTTATACAAAATGTGTTTTTCATGTCTCCTAGCCCGCCCCCCCCCCCCTCGTTTGTTCCTGGGGTATGGTTTATATAGGAAATAAACATAATATGCCATATCTTCCATTATTTAAAACGGTAGTTGTTCACATTTGACAAAAATACTTTTTTTGAGTCTGACCCCCAAGGGGGCTGAGTAAGGGGCCGAAAAGGGGAGGGGGAATTTCAAACATCTTGTTCTTTAGTTATTAAAATGCTAGGATCAAATACTACCCATAGCTGTAATGGCATTTGGGTGGTTTATAAAACTTGTGGTTTTTATGTCTCCCAGGGCCCCCGTTTGCCCCTGAGGAGGGGGTAAACTTTAGTATAGTTTATATAGGAAATAGATATATTAGACCATATCTTCCAATGTTTTCAAAATAATTTGTTCATATTTGGGAGAAATACTTATTAGGGGAGGAAGGTCTGCTGGTATACATTTTGTGACACTGACCCCCTAGGGGGATGGGTTTGGGGTGTAAAAAGAGGCGAATTGCAAAAATCTTCTTCTGCAGTTCCATGAATGCTAGTATCAAATACTACTCAAAGTTGTAAAGGCCTTCGAGTGGTTTATATACTTTGTGATTTTCATGTGCCCCGGGTCCCTTGGTTTGCCTTTGGGGAGGGGGTAAAGTTTGGTATTGTTTATATAGGAAAGAAATATAATAAGCAAGATCTTCCATATTTGAATTCAATAAAGAAATCCAATAAGTGCGCACCACTATTGTGAATTAATGAGGATGTTATGAAAAAAAGAAGAAACGATCGTGCCGTGGAATAGGGTCTTCAGGCACCTGTGTGCGAGATGCATGCGTGTAGTGAGTGTGTGTGTGTGTTTGGGGAGCTGGCGTATATTTGTGTCCCAAATTCAGTCGCCTCTTACGATCATGCAATGGGTGCAGCAGGTACAATTCTTACGCCCTATCTGCAGGGTATGATAGAATAAAGTCCAATTTCTCACACTGGTACAAACTGCAAAACTTCGCATATCTACATGTTGTCTTATAATCAATAGACATAATCCAAAAATAATATACCGACACAGTACAACAAAAATATACACATTACCTCCCCAGTCACTTTAACGTTTGTATTGAAATCTTCATCAGTTACTGAGCTTTCTCTTTATATCTTTAACATTTGTTATTGAGCATTGAGGAGCAAAATTTAAAAGACAATTCGACAAATGAACAGCCATCACATACTTTTTTTATCTTCAACCCAACTAATGTGCTAGTTATAGTAACAACCTTAATTCTTTATGAATTATAAAGGCTCCATAGTAACGCTTCCAAGTTCTTACCCTACATGTCTGAAGTGGTTACAAATTGGCATTACAGAGCAAATGTAAATATTGTGCCATGATTGCTTAAATAACCAGGTGACCGATACAGGCCCCCTGGGCCTCTTGTATATATAGAGAGTGTTTCACATACATTTTTCAATTGAAAGAGAACAAAAGGAATGCAAAAAGATAGGTTATTGAAAAAACACTATAAAATAAATAAATAAATGCTCTTACATAGAATTCGAAAAACAACCAATCTGTCACACCATTAATGTAATCTTTCGATATACAAACGCTATTTATATCCGCTTTTCTCTGGTGACATAGGCTCAATTTGTATCTGTGTATGAAAATAGCAATGCTATAGTACAGCTTACCCCTTTTCTAGATAAGATATTCATATGTATCAAACCTTAATGAAGTTATTTCATGACTCTCAGTCTTTATTTTCTGTTTGGTAGAATTAAACAAGAAGAAAATTATTATGTTAAAGTTTCGGTGGGAACCTGATTGTAAACGACTTAAAAAAAAATGTGTCATATTGTTTAAGTGTTTATCAACCTTTCAAATTTTCAAATGCTCTATATTTTCTAAGTTTCATTATCACAAAATAGATTTAAATTTAAAAGAAATGAGCGAAAGCAAATGAGGGATTTACAAATGATCTTGCTATAATTTATTTTCCAAATATTTCAGTAGTATTAATAGAAATATTTGCATATCAATTGCAGTGAAATACTTTCAAAATTTAACTCATATTGATATTTAATTGATTTATTATAGACTATTAATAATGGAATGTGAATAAATCTATTGAATATATAATGTTATGGAATAACATCTTCCAAGGAAACTAGAAGTGATGTATATATAATTAAATGTTATAAATCTGTCTCGTTAGCATTTTGTCTTGAACCGTCGATCAATGCATGTGTCAAATGTGCTTCAGACGATTCGTTTCCTTATATTGTTTATCGCTCCAGCATTTCATTTGTTCCATGAACGCTTTATTCTGACATAAAGCTGTGCTAAGCAAGATAACTTATCAGCTTGTGTTTTCGGTAATGTGTTTAAGCTATTATCATATTATTATTTAGGTGTGACATGTAGACCTGATTGTACCTTGTCCGACTATTTAACCGTGTACATATATATGTAAATTAATCTGCATGTCAGGTGTATTATATATGTGGATGCACGGTCATGACTGTCACAGGAAATGTCACACCGGGGCCGATTAGCCTTTCGAGTCACGTCTATGTTTCAAAGTCATGTTATCTTTAGAAGGAAACAATTACAATTAAAGAATTTCTGCCAAAGCATCGGGTACTCTTATAAAAGTAATATTGTCAACAATTGATGCCTATATACTAGTATGGCTCTGAATAACTTAAAGTTTCCGGGAATGATTGTGTATCACTTATCATACACTGTCTACACAGCAGCTATCGAGTAAATTATAGCAGGCTTGACTATGATAATCTGATTCATAGTACGCGATACATGATATTTATACTTCCCTCTTATAACGCTCAAACGTCTGTTTATTTGCGAGAAGGTTCTGTGTATCAGGTTGTTCTGTGTAACAGGTTGTTGTTCTGTGTAACAGGTTGTTCTGTGTATCAGGTTGTTAACAGGTTGTTCTGTGTATCAGGTTGTTCTGTGTATCAGGTTGTTCTGGACTATTTTGTTCTGTTGAACGTGAGGTTCCTACGTTAACATTTTAATGAGAGAAATCCTGATTTTTACTGAGTGAAATTTAACGGACATTATGAGGACAAAATATCAAACAATGGGTCTTCGGTGAATGCCGGGGTGAAATACATGTTCATCGCGTCTAAAACACTCTGTGACCGATATGCGATCCCATATTTGACTTAAGATATCATAATAAATGCCACAAGCGCCGCAGAAAACGCTTACCTCGTAGATCACCTGAGTTTCGCCTTAATACTTTAACGGGCATTCTTGATGTTAATGTATTTTTCTCAGTTTATTTTACTGTCTTTTTGTATCGATTTTGATATGATATTACACCTTAAACACATATTAACATTATTTGATTAAAAACAATTATGTCGTTTTCCCGATATATACTATTCACTCTTGTTTGCCCTTATGGAAGCGCTGAGCGGTTAATGTTCTTTTATATTTAGACAAATTCTGTGTTAAAACCTTTTTTACCTTTTCATCAAAACGTGTTTGTTGTATGTTATCGGACTGTTCATGTTATATGCAGCTGTATTTTTATATATTCATATTGTAAAAAAAAAAATGATATTGTTAGGTGAGAAATTCATCGACTTCAAATCTGGTCATTCATAATATATTTCTAGGTGATATTTTGTTGATGACAAGAAACATCGTGACGTATTCCAAATGAGGTGCTGGGTGCGCTTGTCCTTTATCAGTGTTCGTCAGGTCGGTTTTGCTGTTGCTTTACTATGTCTTTTCTCATATGTATATATTAATCTTTTTTAACAATGCTGGCGTTAGCATCAAATATTCACAAGACAGTTTCTGTTAGTTTGGTTGCTGATGACGTCAGTAAGGTCTGTGTGACGTTCTTGCAGCTCGTGATATTAATTTCTTCACTCCCATGTTCCTTGATGACACGTCCCTAGACTTCCTGTTTGGTGTTTACCTTTCTGACCTTGCCGTGTTTTATTATCTTGATGGACTTCCTTCCTATAATTTCCTTAATTCGTTTTCAGTGTCAATCTTGTCTATATACCTCTGTACGCCGAGACACGTTTTAAAGTGCTATAATTTGTATTTTGTCCTTGAGAAGCAATTGAATATGTCTGATGATGTGTCTTGGTTAATTAATGATGACGATGTATGATTTTTGAAAACTCGCATCAGGATTTCCCGATCGCTTTTTCATGTTATTACAATATCAAGTTATGATTTCTTATGGTCAATACCTATTATACTGTTACATCGGGCATACGTTCATTTCTATCATTATTAAGTGTCGCTGTGGTATGTCAAGTAACTCCGCCAATGACTTATAAGGGGCCATATAAGAGTCACACTGTTTGTTTGAAGGATCGATTGTTATTGGAATATTCATTGAGTAGGTTTTTATCTACAGTCATAAATTTCATAGATACTTCCCCTATGCAAAGAACAAGCACCCTGTCTGTTTTTGGGTCACTGGGACTCGTGCATTTGATAGCATTTCAAGCCAAAACTCATGCATAATCTCCTAGTTGTAAAAACTAAGAACCAATTATTTTATTCATTTTAAGATTAGAAGTTTACGCGCGCTCTCCTCCACGTACTTCAATATTTCACTGATCCTGAATGTTTTTGCTATTACCAACGCAGAAATTAAAGAGTCATATGTTAGATTAGGATATTATGAAAATGATAAATATGGGGTTGACAGGCCTTTTTGAGAAGAATTAATATGTACATATCTGATGAATTAATGTAACACTGTGCACTTTATCTGTGCAGTCTTCACATCTATAAAACATCTTGATGTTAAAAAAATTTCAAAGACAAAAAAACATCGGGCAATGCTAAAGGGAACATTTACCTCAAAATGTTGACATGACTTGTTTCCTTTTATATCTGTTAAAATAATAAATATAATTAATGGATTTAGTGCCCACATTACACTCAACTGTACCTATTATCTATAAATAACCGTGCTGTATGTTTCCGTTAAATATATTATAAGTATTGCTAGCTTAGCGGCATGTTCATGGTGATATCATTATACATAATATATTTATGTTAAACGGTCATTAAGCTGACTAGCCTTTCGGCAGGTGTTAATTTCTATAATACGAATAATTATGTGTTGAGAAACAGGTTTTTGTACAAATAGCATGTCATTGAAATGTCGGCAGGTATTTATTATTGTCCCAGTTTAGTGTATAAACGAGTTAATGGTCTTCTGGGAAAATGCAGACACATATTATGACGGCGTCCTCCACATGTAAATTAGCATGCAGATGTTTGATTTTACTGTTTAATTTTTCCGGCGGGTTTTGTTTTTTTGTATTCATTTCTTTTGACCTTGACGTTAAGGATCATCTGGATTCATTTTTTTTTATTTGTAAGCCAACGATCTAACTGAATGTTGTTTCAGATACTATAGTGATTTTTATGATACAGTTCGACAGGAATCAGAGATATGAGGGCATTTCGCTAATTACAGTCGGTCGGATTTTTGAAATTTATTTTTGATAACATTTGCGTTACGACTGAATAGTAATATTTTAGTTTACGAAAGAAACATAATAGGTACAGATAATACATGTTCGCCCGAGTGAAACTCGATAAATCAAGGGGAAACAAAGATTCGTGTTTCCCTACAGTAAAGCAAAACTATTTAATTTTTGCCGAAAATATCAAAAAACAAAATCACAATAGTGAAGATGATAAGGCTGACGCGCCATTGTTGTCGTTTGTTTCCTTTATTCGGAACTAAGTTGCGGTCGCACTCTATTGGATTTGTCTAGAGAGGCTCTGAATAAGGGAAACATGATTAGGGAAACTGGGGGGCATGATGGCGACATGATGTTTTATTGTCCTGTCATGTGACCAGTATCACCCAATCGGACACGCTGTTATAAAGATGAGTTAAATGATATAAATATATAAGTGCAGTAGTCTACATCACGTGATACTTGGTTGATAACTAGTTTTGTGGTTACAAAAGGCCTGTAATGGATCTTTTTTGTTTCAGGACTCGGAAGCCGTATTGTTTACCTTGTGTTGAAGGTCTTTCTGTGCCTACTTTACGTCATAAGAGTGGAGTTAGATGATTATATGAGCTATCGGTGGTAAGTAATCCTATTCTAAAGTATTGGATGGTTAGCAAGATTCCGTTGACAATTCAATTATTTTGCTCTCATTTCATTTTAAAGGTTCCCCATATTCCTTAGTTATGCATTTCAAATTTTGGAACTGATAGGAAAACCAAGACGGCCTACAGGCGGCCATCTTGTATTTTGAGAGTTAAAGTGTGTAAGCGCAATATCTCAGAAAGTACAAGAGATATATTTCTCAAATTTCACATCGAATTTTGAGACAGAACGGCTGACAGGTGGCAATCTTGAATTTTGAGAGTTTAAGTTTGTTATCACTATTTTATATGTATGTACCCCCTCCCCTTAAATACTCGTGGGCCTAATGAGAATTCATTCGTCATTGACAGCCTCTCTAAGTATGTAAGAATTACAATTGTAATTCCTGTTTAGGATTTCTAGCATGGACTGGGTAAAAGTAACTGTAAGGAAGACGAATAGCAAAAAAGGTAGAAGACCATATTTTGCAGATCTGATGAAGAACTTTTGATGATGGGCGCCAAGATCCTTAAAGGATCTCTTGTCAAATAATATAATCGTGTTAGTATGAGAAGTCCTTATTTAAGTGATATGTTTTCATATGTTCAGTATTTCGCATTCAGGTATATATAGCAGGTGTCTTCGATCAGATAACTGCATTCTGTGTCACAGTCTAGTAGTTAGCGAATATATCACTGAAACAGCTTATGGATCTGACCTACATACATGTACCACGCGCAAACATATGTGAAACGAGTCCGTCTGCCCACACGGGTGTGTTAATATGTAAGTGTCTTACATTTATACATATATATGTGTCACGTATGTCAAACATTTATGAAAAATTTGATCCAAGGACGAACCTATTTAAAGTTCATTTTGCCGATGCAGAAATTTACATATAGACCAAATTTCACTGCACCGTACGGCCATTTTTCCTATCTATGAAACATTGGTGGTGTTATGGATCAAGTGTGAATGTTCTGAAATTGTCAATTTCCCTGGATCGATTTTTCGCGGCTTTCAAGTATATCAGCTATCGAGCTCTAGTAAATTCCTGATAATCTTTTTGAGCTATTATTTTTCACATCAAGAAAAAAACCACATACACTGTACACGACGCAATGGTTTCGCAACAATTATCGAAATCAACCGACTTAATCAGATACTGAGATGTTCTTGTTCAATTTCTTGTCAACATCGCGACATGACTTCAACTTTTGATCTTTCCCTGTCTACATGATTAAAGACTATTAACAAAATGTACCTACATACTTTTCAAGATTTGGCCTGAGAAATGATTACGAGTGAAACGTGCTGTACAGTAAACGCTAAACCTGTATGCACATTTAATGGGAGGTCCATAATATAATGTCTTTCCGTTTGTTAAGATTGTGATTGAGTTCCTGGTATTTTTTTTTTGAATTCACTCTGCCAACACAATTTGTTCTGAAGAGTTGATACTGTGGTACATGTTGTTCCTTTCTATTTTATTACTGACTTATTTTTTTAAAGATCAAATTTAATATTTGAGGATTGAAATGCATTTTAATTTTTCTTTTAATTGAGGATGAATCTCAGTTCCATTCAAACAAATTCCATTCGGCGTGGATACATTTAATTCCTTAAATATACGTTAGAAAAAAATTAATTCTGTTTTACCTTTTTGTGCAGTTCCTTTTGAATCATGACATATTTAAAAAAAAATGTTACTATCACATGGAGGAGCAATCATTTTTGCGGTAACAAACAAAGCCGTGTTTTCTTTGGTGATAAACAAACATCAATCGGAAATAATTTGGGAATTTCCGTCACATTTTGAATTTGACGCCACGACATAATTGGTCCCCGATTATCATTAAAGTATGACGGAAAGACCCGAACAGTTTACGATTATCTATGGACTTGTACAACGTTAATAGAAAAAAATTCATTCACCATACTTTAAAGAAATTTAATAGGAAACCAAACCCTTGATATTTATATATTGTTATGGTCAATATTTCATTTATATGCTGATCATTTACTCTGAACGTATTTTATAGCTATGGCTACAGCTGTGCGGAAACAAATATCACACTTCCGGTCGACAACGACAAGATGGTGTTCTCATCGAACGCCATCAACTGGTAAGGTTCCTAGAAGGATGTTGCATGTATGTACCAATGCACTGGAATCGTTGAATGGAAGCCAAATATAGGGTCACGATGTAAATAATGTTTACTTAAATGCAATAGCACTTGCATGTTGATTGAATGAAATTCTAATAACATAAGCTGTTAGTGTGAAGTGTAGTCGGCCAGGTGACCTTATACCTATTCACGTCCGATCGGAGTATCGAACCTCGGCCGCCTTGGTAAAAGTCAAGTGCGCTATCCACTGCACCACATGACCATCCAGTATTTTTTTTTATAATTACTGGGTTTACGATGAACGGAAGCACCCCATTTAAATGCTTATTTATAAATCCAGAAAACTTAACAAAGTTAACATTTTATTGCACTGTATAGTCATTTCGTCTACTTTTGGATTCAACACAGGAACTAAACGTCATGGAATGAAAAAATCCATGTCTAAAGTGTTCCGAATGTGTAAGAAGGTTTTCGGCATATGATCGATATGCTTTTAAGTTAAATTATATATATATTGTGTATAACTATGGGCAAGTCTGCGACCGATGTCCCATCGTTTTCAATAGATATGCAACTGTCTATGATATGTTTGTAATTATACATGTTCGTATTAGTCTTGGTTCGATGTTCTTTGTTCCCT